GAGGAAGGGGGACATCACACTCTCACCTAGCAAAGGATACTGGGCCATGTGGCTGAGGCAGGGGGAGTACTTGGCCCTGACTGAGCCCCCAACACCTCTCTCTGTGCGCATCAGGCCCAGGCGAGTGGGGGTTTTCCTGGACTATGAGGCGGGCGAGGTCTCATTTTACAACATGACTGACAGGTCTCATCTCTTCACTTTCACTGATACTTTCTCCGGGATGCTCCATCCTTTCTTCAGTCCTGGTGCACATTATGGGTGTAAAAATGCAGCTCCCCTGATAATCTTCCCAGTGTCATCTCAGGCCAGAGGGAATCTCTATCCCCAAAAGTGACACCTGCCAGGCCCCACCCCATCCCCGTCCCTCCCCTCTTGGACCCCAAACTGGCAGCAGGGAGAGGCGGAGGGATCCAGCTGCAGGGAACAGAGAGGGATGTGTGGATACAATGTCAGAGGTGATTGCTGTGACAGAGGGTGGGGGGGGGGGGGGGCCTGGGAGGGAGGGGGAGACAGAGGGTGGGGGGGGGAGGGGACCTGTGAGAGAGAGTGAAGAATAAACGTCCTCTCCTCTAGTTTGACCCATCAAAGGTAGCAGAGTAAGCATTTCTTCAACATACTTTTTGCTATTGAAAAAATGCACCCGGATTATGAACTGAGATACGTCTGAACGATCAGTAGATTCATCCATTGTCAGACTGAAATACTCAGTGCTTTTAATATCTTTTAGCAATTTAGAAAACAGATCACCTGAGATGCTTTCAATTCGTCTTACTACAGTTGAATCAGACACTTGCAGTTTTGATGTTTAACTATATAAAAAATTATACCAATGTTTTGGGAGTTTAGCTTGCAGCTTCACATTAACATCAGAACGGCCATACTGGGTCAGACCAAAGGTCCATCTAGCCTAGTATCCTGTCTGCTAACAGTGGCCAATGCCAAATGACCCAGAGGGAGAGAAACACAACAGGTAATCACCTGCAGACAAACAAGAGGCTAGGGACACCATTCCTACCCATGCTGGATAATAGCCATTGACGGACCAAACCTCCATGAATCTATCTAGCTCTTTTTTGAACACTGTTCAAATCCTAGTCTTCACCACATCCTCTGGCAAAGAGTTCCACAAGTTGATTGTGCACTGTGGGTTCAGCCACAGAAGACAAGTGAGAAGTTCTGGCGGAGGCACGAAAACCAGGACTAATAAATGCTGGGGGGGAGGGGAGAGAGTTGTGAGAGAGAAAGAGGGTTTTTAACTCAAACCAACCAGCTGCTGGCTAGAATTCAAGGGTTGGGTTGGGGCACCCCAGGACACAGGAGAA